GGACGGCCGTCCTATTTGTATTTTTTTGAATTGATAAAATAGACTATTATTGTCTTGACCTGAGTGATGTCGTTGTGCGAGTAAAAGAAATGAAGCTTGCTGTCACGTTTTCGTTTAAAAACTTGTTTTTTTTACAATTTGCCAAAAGATCATTTTTTACAATTCAAAAAATCTTTTTACAATTCATGCCAAAAGTCTATTTTTTACAATTTAAATTCAAATGATTTGTTAGAATAATGTCAAAAGTCTTTTTTTACAATTCGCCAAAAGACCATTTTTTACAATTCATGCCAAAAGTCTATTTTTTACAATTTAAATGATCTGTTAGGATAATGCCAAAAGTTTTTTTTTACAATTAAATGATCTATTAGGATAAATGCCAAAAGTCTTTTTTTACAATTCACCAAGAGACCATTTTTATAGTTCAACAAATCTTTTTACAATTCATGCCAAAAGTCTATTTTTTACAATTTAAATGATTTATTAGGATAATGTCAAGACCTCTTTTACAGGAACATTTTTACAATTCTTTTTACAAAAGTCCATTTTTTACAATTTAAAATGATTTATTAGGATAATGTCAAAAGTCTTTTTTTGCAATTTGCCAAAGGTCGTTTTTTTTTATACAATTAAAAAAAACCTTTTTACAATTCAAAAAAAACCTTTTGCAATTCACCAAAAGACTAACTGTTAATATTAAATGGGGCATGCTGTAACAAAACCAGACAAAGTGAACATTGGTATTACTAACGATTTCAGGGATCAAAATTTTAGTAATGTGATTATTAAAATCCCCATTTGTTATATTCGTTTTTTCTTAATATTAAATGATATATAGAATTACCTCTATATAAAAACAGTTAATATGAAACTCATTTACATCAGATCTACTATGGAACCCAAGAATTATAGTACCATTAAAAGTGTTCTGAAGAAAGAACAAGGTGAAAAAAATGCCCCTTACATTTTCAAAATAAATGATATTCAGACACTGGAAACTTATCTAAGGAAAGAAAAGATTACCTATGAAATTTACCAAGAAGAAAGAAAAATAATAAACATTAGGAAAAGAAAACAGAATGTAGATATACTATTACCCAACAAAAAGCAGAAATTCTTAGAAGAAAAATAATCTTATTATTACAATATTGATTTATTTTTTTTTACTGAAGAAAATTCACCTTTATGCAAATGTAATTAATGATCATTGCTTATCAATCATTTGAATTCTGTGTTTTATAAAAACATCACCAATTCACTTAGCTTTCGAATAAAAAAATCAAATAACAAATGCTTCAATAAATATTTATGATATTTTCATCCATAATGACATTTTAAAAAATGCTTACTTTTAATAGTGAACTTTTTTGTGGATTGTTGATCAGACTCTTGCTTTGTTTTTTACTCCACTATAAAGCTTACAAAAATCAACTCTATTATAAATCAAAAAAGTCAATCAAATAATTGATAAAATGAAACCAAGAAAAAGCCAATTCAAAAATAAAACAAACCAACTTACTGGTGATAAAAAATATTCACAAGTAATCAAAAATCTATGGAAGGATTTCAAACAATTATTTGACAAAAAGACTGAACTAAAATCCCAATTTTTCATTCAGTGAAATGATCATTGAAATTTGTGAATTACTTGCAGAGGGAAAAGGTGTTGTTGCTCCCACAATAAAAAAACAAATCTTAAAAGGAAAACAATAGAAGCAATTCAGAAGTGGATCAAGAAGGAGAAGAAGAAAGTGGTGGAGGAGATGAAGAAGATGATAAAAATAATGAAAATATAAATATTGGTTATAATAGTATTATTGATAACAATAACAAGAATAGCAGTAGCAATAGTGGGAGTTAAATTTTTGTCAGAGCCCAAAGAATAGGTAATGCTTACAAATGGCTTTGGATCCAAGTATTTCCTCCCATGCAAGTACTCTGATAATTTTTTAACTTATATATTTATGTATTTCTCTATTATTAGTTGAATTAAAATAAAAATAATTTTCTTTTGTCATTTAATTCCATGTGTCCACTAATCGAAATTATGCATTAAATCAATAAAAAATAAAATTTTTTTTTTTTTTGAATTTTACAGATAGCAACTATGGAAAGAATTGAAAACGATAAAAATATTACATTTAATATTAAAGAGTATGAAGAGGCTAAGAAGAAATTGGAGAAGTGGGAAGAAGAAAATGGGGGGAAGCTGAACAAGTTAGAAGATGAGTTGATGGAGGGGAAGTGGATTGGTGATGAGAAGACAAGGCGGGAAGTGCGAAGGGATGAGTTGAAGAAAGAAAAGGCGAATTTGGAGAATAAGGAAAAAGAAAGATGGGCGTTGTATGAAAAAATGTTATGTGGAGGGAAGGGTAATGAACAAATTTCATTAAAAACAAATTGTGTAAAAAAAATTATTTTTTGTTCATTCCATTTTGTTTATTTATTTATTTGTTTAAGAGAACATTTTATTTGGTATACTGTTTATGATTTTAACTTCTTTTCATATTAGTAGGTGTTAGTGAAGGTCCCAACTGGAATAACACTGAATCAATTTATGCCTGGATAAAGCATTTTAAACGAAATCCTGATGTTCAACCATCCAAGGTATTATAACGTCTATGTTCCAATAATTGCTTAACCTGGTTAAATACTGATCATTGTTATTTTTAGCTTGTGGAGTCCTTTGGTTCTATTTTTCCTTTAAAAGGTCGAGAAGATACACTATGAACTTTGTGTAATGGTTCTGACAGTAGGAATGGTATATATCAAAGATTTTCAAAGAGAAAAATAAGAGACTGTTCATTTCATCCTATTCCTGTCCTAGTTGGTGGACCTGGAACTGGTAAAAGTCGGATCCTCCAAGAACTTCCTGCATTGCTGCATAATCATGTTCAACAATATTCATATGATAATGAACTGAAGAATGCAATTTGTGAAAATAAAATGTTTGCCATTAATGTCACATTTGGTAATGGTAGTAATGTTGACATTAGAGATACTAAAATTGGAGGTCAAGCATCAGTTGGGTTACGTATACTTTATGAGCATTTCATCTATGGAAGTGATATTGATTTTCACAAATTCCATCACCAATGTTGTCAATATGCAAATATAGAGAATTTTACAATTCATCAGGCATTTGAAGTAATTTTCAAGGATATCCACACTGACATTGAAATTGTGATTCTTGGCATTGATGAATTGAATGCATTACATCAAGCAGATCAAAGTTCTGAGAAGATTTTAGTTCGTTCAATTGTAAGAGCTGTTGGTGGATTAAGTTGTAGCAGCATGAAAAGATTCTATGTGCCTATATTGTCTGGAACAATACAAGGGCCTCTTGAAGCTTTTATCAGAGAATCCACATATCTTTTTTTACGTTTACCACTCCGTCTTCTTAGTAATGATGAAATGTTTGACATTGGTGTAAAGATTGGAGAATCTGAACCACTTATGGCAAAATACATATCAAATAACACCTTTTCATGTTGCATTAGTGACATTGGTGGTCAGGTTCGAGCTCTTGAAATTTTTTATGAAAAATTTTTGAATAAATTAAGGCAACCATCCTATGTAGATTATGTAGATTTTGTAGAGATATTTCGTGAAGTTAAATCAGAACTCTTATCACAATATCCATTTCAGGATTTTGCAGTAGATGCAACCCCAATAATGGCATGTGCTATTCTTAATATTCCAGTAGAAAGTACTGATGCAATTAACATTGGAAAATCCCAAATAACTTATCTTGATCTTGCATCATTGGGTATTTTAAATTTGGAGCAAACTACTGAAAACAAATTTTATATACGCATGCCATATCTGTGGGTATGGATATTGACATCATTCAGCAGTACATGTAGATTCTGGAAAGTTATGATACAACAGAATTCACATGTCTTCTGGGAAACTTTTGAAGAATTTAATGCACAGTTTTGGGCTCTGCGTCTCTGCCTTCTTTCAGCATTGAACAAAAAAATTACATTAAAAGAACTGTTTGGAGGTGCAATTGGTGTTGGTGATGTTTCAGAAACTGTAATTGACCTTGTTGATCAATCTACAGTGAAAATGCAGTCACTGGATTACAGATACCCCCATTCCAAGGATGCTGATTTGCATGAAAATTTGGGGATTGTATATTGGAATGGTGATGGAGCAGAATGGGATGTATTCTTCTTCTTAAAATCTTGGATTATTATTATTCAAGCTAAATCTTCAGATCCTACAGCAAAACAACCTCAAACTATAAATAGAAAGATGTTTGATGAAGAGTATGATAAATATTTAGAAGGAATAAAAAAAATGTACAATTTGATTGGGAAAAATTCTTCCATTGCAAATTCAGCCTTGCTTTTATCCACAAATGGTAGAAGTACATCAAATCTTTTATCACAACCATTAGAGTATAATAACTATTTTGTGGTGGATTGTAATAATTTCAGAGATTTTTATGGATACACATTTGCTAGTCGAGCTGAATTTGCTGCAGGTATTGTTTATTATTATGAGTTTTTTTTTAGAAACATTAGTCATACTGAAGCAATTAAGAACTTTATCAACTATTTTTTTTGAACAGCTAATGATCAAATAGATATTAACAGTGCCCAAGAATTTGAAATTAGAACAATCTGTGGTATAGGACCAGAAATTGCAAAAATGATCTGTAAGAAAAGAAAAGAGAGACCATTTGATGATATAGAAGACTTACTTTCCCGTGTACTCATAAAAGGACGAGTAGCTTTAAAAAGAATAAAAACAGGAAAAGTGTATGTTGCCACTTTTTTGTCCAGTGAATTTATTAATTACCATGATGTGCTAAATTCCAATTTATGCTTTTTTTTTGTCTAGGATTAACACATAATCTATTTATTTTTTCTTAATTGGATGACTAAGTTTTAAGTTATTTTGTTTGAAGGGAATCATAATCATAGTTTCTTGATTTATATTTGTTATGTAAATTAATTAATTGTTTGTTGCATATAATATAAGCGGCTTCTCATATCAATGTTGATAATCATACATGACACAAAATATTATACATTGCTATTTATATAACTAGAAGAAAACATAATGATTGAGATAGATGAAAAAGTATGTAAAATGAAAAAACTTTTTTTGTAATAAATGCTTCTAAATCACTGAATGTAAAAACCTACAAAGTGAACATAACATTATAAAATTATATATATAGGGATAAGTATATATATGAAAAGTAATAATAAGTATAATGGTTCTAATGAATATCAAAAGGCAATTAATTTTTTAGAAAAAGGTCATGATTATACATGCAGCCCAAATTGGTTTGGTGATCTTGATGGTCAAAATTATTCCAATTTTGATGGTAGAAAGTAGAAATTAATTATGGCATTCACTAATAAAAACACAAGTGTAATACCCCTTTACTACATGTGTAACCCCCTTTATGACAGCATCAAAATACTTTGGGCTGCATGTATAGTCGTGATTGTGGTTGTTCTTCAAGAATTCCCAAGGAAGTACTTGCAGAATTAAGAGAATCTTTTTAAGCACTTTCCAAGACTGAACAAGATATATTTTTAATGGCCCAACTTAAAGCAATGGATGGGGGATTAACAAGTACATCAGGAAACTTTTCCCGCCATAATATTACATCTGTAAGTTTTAATATGAAATGTCATAATATTTCGCATAAAAAG